GACAAGGGAATAGGATTTTTTTCCTTTTGTTCCTCTTTAAACAATTACAGATGCCAGCAGCAGCAAGGATTTAGAAGGTTCTGTTCATGACATACAGTTTTGAAATCAAGTCCCTTCTTTTTCTTGTATTCATTAGCTTTCCATTTCAAAAACTGTGTGTTGGGAAGCGAAAGAGCATGAAGAAGTCTGTGGTAATACTATTAACTGGCAGGGAAGGGGTAGGGCAAGGCAGGCAAGGGCAGGCTGGAGAAGACAGTGGGAACCATGAGGATTTTAATTTTCACATTCTTCCTCTCACTTTGTTTACTCAACGCCTGCAGAAAGGCTGTAATGCCAAGCACCAAGATTTTTCTCTTCCACCTATAGAAAAAATATTTGTTTGCTTTCTACCAGTTAGAAAAATGGAAACACTTCCAAAGTGGAGAACAGAACAGTTTTCTCTAACACAAGTTCACATGCTAGGAATTGAAATATGGAGTTTTTTCCTTCTTACTAGCTACAGCCTCACAGCACACAACTAGTGTGCCTACTACCAGATATTAGTGGCAGTGAGTGGACATTCACGTATCAAGGTATTTCTTTGCCCAGAGCGAAGTCACAGCTGACTGACAGAAAACTGCCAGAGGCTCATACTCTAATGGTGCAGGCAGCAGCTTTGCCCACTGTTTTGTTCTGGCCTTCTGTAGGCTTGGAACTGTGGTGCCCTCGAGTCGTACCCAGCTGTGGGTGGTCGGAGGTCCCAGAGTGGTCCCTCAGCCCACCACTGTCAGTGGAGGGTTCAGGAGGGGAACTGACAGCTTGAAGCCCCTGCTCCTGAGGGACAAAAGATCTGACTTCTCACACAAGAGGGCATCTGCAAAACCTCAGCTGGATGTTTTATAAGCAATTTTTGTGCACCCCAGCCCTGGCCCCATGATGAAAGCACTGAATTGAGAGTTTCATACTCTTACTAAATTAATCTCCTTCAGGGGAAAAAATTAATGCTGTGTATAGCAGAGATTTTTCTATGCCTTTTGATGTGATCCTACTTGGATTGCAAAGTCTTGCCTGATGCAGGCTAAGGTGTTTATGCTTTGGCTCTGTCTGGTATTGGAGGTCATAAAATATTGGAAAGTCTTTGCCAGCAAGCTCTTTTGCGAACTTGAATTGCCTGTGTGCATCTTGCAAGTACTGCTTTCACTTGGGGATCTGCAGATGGCAGGGCCACTTTACCCAGGCCAGTGCTCCCCCTGAACTTCTCATGAGCCCTGGTCTTCTCCAGGCCACGTAAGGTTTCGCATGTGGGTTTTGTTTTTTCCTGTGGTTTTTCTTTTCAAAGCAGAGCAGATGAGACCCATCAGGGGAACAGCAGAGTAGGGCATATATCAAAGCTCAGCCCTTGGGGACAGCAAGACCATGGTATCTGCTCCAGAACAGGAATATGGTGCTGGTGACTTTATAGTCCTGCTCTCTTCCTCTTTATGGCAGGCAGCCATATAAGCAGAGCAATTCCCAGGACAAGTCATCCACTGTTTGCATGGAGGAACTTAATTCTTTCCCAGCCTGTATAGCCTCATGCTATACATGCCTATGCTTGTATCTGCCCTCCTGACCACTGACCACAGAGTGAGGACATCATGCTGGGACATGAGAGAAAAGGTGTCACCATAGTGGCAAGGTATGTATATAATATCAGAGAGTACATTTAGCTACATTCAGCTACATTTAGTACTGATGTCATCATCAGATTCCAGTACCTTTGCTGTGTTGGCTAATACACACACCATGAGTTCTCTGATAAATCTCATTTGCTCAGTGCAGAGATAATTTACCTCTGTTTTGTTGCCCGATGCACCTAAGTATAGCATTGCACGTCTGTCACACAGGGCCCCTCTTGTAAAGAAAAGATTGAGTGTCTCAGAAGTGCATTTTCTCTTGTAATTTACACACAGGTGGTCACTTTATGATGTTTCGTGCCTACTTGACATGCAGTAATCTTGACATGCAGTCAGTGAAAGACCACCAAAGAAAGCAAATGCTGCAGGAGCACATGCTCTGGTTTCCAGATGTCACATACAGCCAATGTAGGGTGCACAGCACTCAGAGTTACTGTGCTGCTGTTTTGCGTGGCCAAATGGCTGTGTGTTTTGTTGGTTTTTTTAAATTTCATCTTTGTTTTGCAGAGATTCATTTGAATGCTGACAAAAGTGCCTGGAGACATGGGAATGTGATTTAGACAAATGCTGTAAGAAGTGTAGTGTTCAAGTAAGCTGTAGCACGCAGACTTGTAAATGCTTTTGCTGGCTCTCTTCCAGAAGGATACAGCAGTTATCATATTGCTGGGAACTACACCCTCTTTGTTTTCCTATACTGCTTGTGGAAGGGGTAATTTTTACTACAATTGCAGTGTGTTTTAATAATGACATCTGTATGCTGAAACTGCTTTTTGCCCTGATTCTGTTTGAAACTCTTAAGATAATGTTTGATTACAGAAGAAAGCTGCTGTAATGGAAGAAATAAAAAATTCGGCATTTTATGGTGACTCTCAAACACCATGATGCCATTTTGATAATAATCCAAAAGAAGCTCACCAAAGGTAATTTTCTTAGGCTGGAGAAAACAAGTTAAAACAGGGGATGTAAAGAACTAGGATTGTACAGGTGACCCAAAAGAAACTTGAGAAGTGATCTTAATTCTTCTTAATTAAGAAGAATGAATCAATTATTAATTAATTAATTAATTGGCGGGGGCAGAAATGCTTGTTATTGGAGGGCTTTTTAATCTAGTGAGCAAGGCTCAGAATAGCCATGGCTGAAGATTAACAAAGGTCAAAAATAAAATTAGAGACCAGGCATACTTTTTGAACAGCATTTACTGATGATACATATCGGGATGTGCAACTCAAGGAAGAGATTGATTAGTTGATTATTGATGATTATTGACCAAAGAGTTCTGGGGTCTTTCTGGGACACGGGCCTCAGGTAAGCAGATGTGAATGGCATTAAATGGTCATCTCCTTTGATCTGTCTGCTCATCTGATTTTATTTTCTGGCCCTGTGAACCAGGGATATCTGCAATGAAAATTGATGCCTTGCAGTCTTCTATACCTCTTTTTCAATATTAAAAAGAAAGACTTGTAGTCCATAGAAAGTCGAAGTCATCTAATGTGGAGATCAGAACACTGTCCTCTGTATTAGTGCAAACCATTAATTAAACTTCCCAACAATACTACAAAGAACAATCTCCAATTTCTTCCTTAAAGACAGGGGACAAAGAGATAGGAGACCTTAAGTCCTACAGGATCACTGGCAGCTAGAGCTCGTTGATTCTATGTGAAGACTACACTGTAATCATACAGATACCTAATCTGTAGGTCTCATGCAGATACAGCTTCAGTACTGAACTACAAGTTTCCCAGGCTGGCACAAGTTGCCTGCCTGCAATTTATTAAGTTGATAGATGCTTAGGAATACATCAACTTTAAGAAGCTGAGGTTGCCCTCTAAGTTTAAGGCTGCGTTTTTGATGCAATATAGAGACTTCCTTCTATCTCTTTTGAGACAGCAAGGAGAGCACTTGGCAGCCTGAAGAGGACAGATTACTGCCCATCCAATCCACCAGTTCTCCTGTATTAAACCTGTTTGGCTTAATATCATAAATAGCGACTGCCACAAACTGGGACTGCTTTTCTCCTCTGGGAACGAGGAAATGTTTTGCATAATTGAAATACTTTGTAGTAGAGAAGGAGAGTTCAAAATTCATTTCAAGGTCACATGTACCCAAAGTATACAGAGTCCTCTGCTTGAAATGAAGCCTTTTCAAAACAAGCATACCAAGGTTATTTCAGTTCTGATCACCATGCTCAGGCTCACAATAATCAAAGCCTGTTATCTGGATCCCTGCAATAACATGATTCACCAGCTAATGATGACAGTGTCTAACACATGCTTCAGTTGTTGCTTTTTAAGATATGGAAATCAGGAACTTCCAGTACAACTTAGTCTTCAACGTTTCTTTTCCCATTTCTGTTAATTCATCTGCAGAATAATTCTTAAAATATAGTCTCTTCTGACAATGACAGGAAGTAGGAGGCATCTCTCAGTTATTATACACTAGTTTCTTGTAATACAAAGTTGCCCAAGGGCCCCTAAGATACAGTAAGAGGGCTGAACATGCCTGATGAAATGATTGCTGTGCCCATAACCAAGAACAAAGCATGATCATTACAAAAAAAATAAAATATAATGATAATGGAAAAATAAATGTAACATAGAAAAGTTTTTGCCTAGTTTTCGCTTGTTTGCAGAAAAACAATGTGTCCTATGGAAAAAGGAAGGAGAAATGCAAGTTTCCCGAACTTCATTCAATGTTTTTAGATTGTGTTCTTATCCTCTCCTGGTCATAGCCTGCTTCCCACAGCCCTCTGATTCTGAGTGCTGGTGGGTACCTTAAAATGGCCTCAGACTTGGTAGGTGCTGCGTGTATCGGAGGAGTCAGGTGGCCCCCGCGCGTGTTACTGCTGACGTGGTTGGTGTGCTTGGGCTGGGTGCAGGATGGTGAGCAGGCCATGGGTGCGGGGTTTGTTTCTTCTGGCCTCAGCTGTCTAAAATTTGGCCGCCTGAAATTAAGAAAATGCTGTGATCTTTCACTACCGTTAACAGAGAGCAATATGCACTTCCAGATATCTGAGACGCCTGTCTTGGGGTGGCATGATTTGTTTTCTAGACATGCCTCTTCTTATCCACTGACTGTGAAGGCAACACAGGGGGCTGACAAGTTTCAGCAACTAATTTTTAGGTGGCTGAACTGTGAGATATAGCAAGCTAACTAGAGCACCTCAATAAAAGGTAGCAGTCAAGGAGATTGTATGAGCAGTTGCAAGGTAAGAGATCCCTGAGTTCAAGTCAGATCTTTTCAGCTGATTTGCTGGATGATCCAGTAGTAGCAGCAGTGGTGCTGGTGGCATCCTTCTGCTGCAGAACACCAATCTGATTGTGCTGGTTTTTTTGTCCATCCCAAAAGGTCGCCACTGTGAGGTCCATCAGATGACTGGAAACTACATGTGGGACCAGAAGGCAAATGTATCTTTTGATATTGGTGTGAATAAAGAAAGCTTGATGCCTCTCTGGTGGAATGGATCTGAGCCTTTGTGGGTCACAATGACGAAAGCTAAAAAGAACGTTTCCATGTACTATTGGCCCGGTAAGTATGTGAAAAATTGCTGCCATTTTAACAGTGCATCTTTACATCTGAGCACTCCATATTCTTTAGGAATGGCTCTCTAACACAGTCCTGGAATACAGACAAGAATGTTGAGTGCTTTGCTAACCACTCATATAAATGAATTATCTTTTCTTGGGTCATGATAATTTGTATATGCTTACAAAGGAAAAGACTGAAGTGTCACTGGAGGCAGCTTTCCACTAAACGTTACCTTCAGGAGGGCACTGGCTTGTAGAGCATCCCCTCCTCCAACGACTGCTCATTCCTTTTGCCTGCCTGTAGCTTCTGCTGTGCTGAATGGTTGCTCCATGAATGGTTCATGGTCCAATTAAAGTTAAATGGTAACCAGTCTCCCACAATGCTTGTTTGGTTTTAATCTGGAAATTAGTATCTGAGAGCTGAAGATGATCTGTTCTGTGGGGACAACAAAATCCGGCTGAAACCAAAGCATCCTTGTCCTCTTGTCCTCCTTCATTGTTGATTGAGTTGAGGTCCCAGTTGCTCTGAGTCTGAGTCATTCTTTTAGAGGGACTTGGCCTTCCTGTTCCTCATTTTTTAGATATTGGGCAGTTGAAATGACTAGAGATGTATAAAAATGAGTCCTTTTTAACAAAAAGAGGTATCTCCTTAGACTATCCATTTAGGAACTCACATGGAAATAAATGTTCCAGCTCTGCAACCAGACCAAATGCCTTGCAAAGTACTGAGATTCTCAACTTTTTTACCTTTTAACTCTGCTACTTATACTAATCAGTATGCAGATATCCTCATATGTGCAAGTGCAGGCTAGAGGACCACGGAGCTGTTAGAAGAGCTGTCCTGGATACAGCCAGTGCCAGTAGGGCAGTGGCACTGGGCTCCGTGGGCTCCCGGACTGCTCGTCTCTGCATCCCGGTGCACATGTGCCTGGCCACAGTCTGTCCGTGCAATGTGGCTAATGGTGTTCCAGATAAAAAGTCCACAGTTCTAAGGAATGGGAAGAAAGATCAAACCAAGATGGAAAACATTGAAAAGCCATCTAGAGCGTTTCTATAGTAGTGAAGAGCAAAAAGACCTGAGGGTGACAATATTGCCTTATGGACTCGGAGGCAGTCAGGGTGACTGACATATAATGGTTTGGATCAGCCCTGAAAAAAATGCTGCTTGTTACTGAAGATCACCCAAGTGACCTAACAGCAATGCAAATAGTAGTTATACAAGAATGTAGGAATTCTTCTAAAAATTTACAAAAGACTTCTTTCTATAGACTATTCATTTTTACCCACTAATATAGTTGCTCTCAATAGGTATAATTATGTACTGAATAGATGTAACAGGCTACAGAGAGATGCTGAAATAAAAAACCCAACAGTATCTCTTTCCATTAAATGCCTTTGGACTTTACCTAGCTCCTACATGTTGCCCTTTGAGAAGTGTTTCCCAGGGAGAAGACATAGGAGATGTATATGTATGTATCCTTGCATACATATGTATACCCTTCACTCTTCTCTGCCTGCTATTTCCAGTTGAAAATTGCAACAATAGAGCCTCCCTTTTCCCAGTGCTTATGCTGCCAAGTGTATGCATTGACTCTTACGACACAGAGGGGGAATTTTTTGTGGATCTAGTATTTTAGCTGTGGACTGTGACATGTACATCTGTCTCTCCTTAATTATTTATCTGTGATGAGTGACCTTTGGCAAAGCCATCAGTGCCTCAGTTCAGCAAACAATTAAGGACATGCTTATTTTAAGAGTATTCATGGTCTCAGAGGACACATATACCATACAAAGTCAGGCACAGGGCAGGAAGTGGGGTGAAATGTAGAACTATTGAACTAAAACACAGGGTTGTTGGGCTGCAGTAGGACTCCAGGTGTATATGGGGTAAACAGAAGTCACTCCAAATGCAGTAGCATTTATTACATTTCCCCTATACAAGTTTTTAAACTGTTTTCTAGTTCCATAGTAAGGACAAAGTCCTTTATAAAAATTCTAGATCTATCATTTTAAAACTTTAATTCTTAACAAGACATTTGACTTGGAAGCACTACTAAACAAAATGAAAATAATAAAAAAAAAGATTTAATAACCAAGGCAAGTAGAGGTCCCACAGACATTTGCACTACATATAATCTGCTGTTAGTGATTATCTTTCCAGCCTGAGGATATACTTCTGCTTAGTAATGAATCTTACAAATATGATAAAGAACCAAACAGGAAAAGTTTCAGAAACTCTTCATAAGAACAGCAGTATAGAGCCAAATTCAACACACTTTGTTCTGGAAGATGCTATTTTCTCTTTAGCCAGCATTGAAGACAAATGAAATCAATCAACCATAGCAGAAATGCCAGCGAGTTGATTCCCAGGATTAACTTACACCACTGCCATTTCCTCCTCAGGGCCAGTTCCAAGCTTTGCAGTCTGAATGCAAAATCTGCTGCTTCATATTCTTCCCTACATTCCTCTCTCATGTGTAGTCAGTGCGTAAAGAAGTAAAATCCAGACCCCAGCAAACAGGAACACAGAGCAGGAGGGCTGTCGGATGCAAATGACCATCCATCACAACTTTATCTGTGAGCCCAGTGTAAACCCAGCAAAGACAACTCATGGGCAGAACTCATCTGGGATCTCGTGATGCTGGAACAGAGGAGCCAAAATATCACCATACCAGGGGTCCCAAACACCAGTTCTGACAAAATGTAAGACCTGGGCTTGTAAGGACATTTTTCTCCTTTCTTCACAATCTACATGAGGTGAAATTCTCAGGCTCATGCCCAGGTTGCCCGTCTGAAGCACTGCTGCTCCAGTGGATGGAGAATGCCCAGAGGAGTGCAAGAGCATCCCAGCAGTCTTGGCAAAGTCAAAGCTTTGGAGTGATCCTCAGCCCACTGGATTGTGTCACCATAGGTGCTCAAACTCCTTTATTTTCCAGCAGCCTGTGCTAACTGCGTATGCAGCTGCTTCAGCTGAAGTGCAGTGACATCTTCTCTAAACACTGAAATGAAAGAGGGAAAAAAAGGCTCTGAACTCAACTTTTGCCATTTAAACACAACATTTACCAGATCATACAGCTCATCTGGAAAGTTTTCAAAACTTGTTATGACATGAAGTGTCCAACTCTTAAACAAATGTTTAGAAATGCAATTTAAAGCTGGCAGAGGTTCAGGTCTCCATGTCAGATAGATAAAGAGGAGCCTATATATCACTCTGAAAGAAGTCCTTATTCCTGCTCCAGTAGTTCAAGTTTTTAAATAAAGGTTTAGTGTCACACAAAACTGTGAAAAAGGTATCTAACATCTTCATAAATATAGCTTAACTATTTCTAGTTTAAACAAGAAAAAACATTCCCTTTTTCTGTCTCCAAATCTGTTTAAATTTCCTTTCCCATAATATTTAAATGAGAAGATTTACCATCTGTCCTGGCCTCTACCAAAATGAAATCTAAATATTAAAGGGTCTTCGTGGCCAGTATTTTGGAATTGTAACAAGCCTTAACATCAAAAATCCAAATTTAAGTTCTGTTTATCATAGAGGCTAAAAAGAAACAGGAAGCTCTTCATATTTAAGCAGCCTGAATTTTCAGTGGTACTGCCAACGAACTGCATACTTGAAGACCAATATTTAGTGGCCAAAATTATTTCTAATTGTTGCTATGTCTGTAGTCTTTTATGTCATGCTCATCACCTGACAATCTAGAAATAGCAAAGATATCGCAACAGCTAAAATATCCCAGATCCCCAAGAGGTTAATGCTTCCAGTTATCCTGTGAGTAGTTCTGAGGGATGTTATGTGAGAAAATTACAATCTGATGTCAGTATCTGAAGAAGAAAAAAGAGGCAAAGTGGTGGTATTAGTCACTGGCTATGAGCCGTCCTACACCTGAACAAAAATACTAGGTGGTCCCAACATCTTTCCAAGTGCATCCTTAACTTCTTGCCTGGCTTTAGAGCCAATCTGTTCCCAGACTCAAGTGTCAGACAATTGGCTCCAAAGTTCCAGTTCAGTCCTGAAATACTAGTAAAGCCCACAGAGGACTACTGCATCACTTTTAGCATCTGAGTTAGCTGTAAGCCCATGTTTTGCTGCTGGTAGCACCCAAGACATCCTGCAAAAGACCGAAGCTGCATGCCCTCAGGGCAGGGGGCTCCGTGGATATGACTTCAGGAAATTTATGGAATACATTTTTTTATGATTTGGTTAGGTAGCAGCTGGGACCTGTCTCTGTTGCACAACATAATGTCTTGGGGGTGCTGTGTGCAGATGTATTGAAGTTTTACTGTGGGATGGTCAAGTAATCTACAGGCTCTTCAACCAGGCTGCAGATTAGTTTCATGGTGGATTGTGGTGGAGAGATAAACAGTAAAGTATCTTCATACAGAAAGGGGAGGATTAGATCACATATGTTTGGGGCAACGGGAAGAATTAAAAGCAAGCATCATCACACAGACCCACAATTTTAATATAAATAAAATTTAGATAGAAGTTTAAGATTATGCAGATGTGTTTTAACAGGAAAATAAATTATTTTACTACATTTTATGTTTATTATTGCAAATAATTAATCATAATAGATGGAGTCCCTTAAAACACGCAAACTGTGTGGAGACATAGGAGTTGTTGCCACAGGTGAAGAGACTAAATCTCCCATGTGTGCTAGGGCTCTAACTTTTGGAAAGGGTAATTTCCATCTAATTTGTCTGGCTTTCTGCAAATCAGTGAAGATTTTTAAAAAAACTTCCTAAGCTTAAATATTTAAGTTTTTCTAATCTTTCAGTACTTTTCAGTACTCCTAAACAGTCACAATCAGAAGTCTCTTAACCAGCTTAGCCTGCAAGTGGTGTGCCTTTTCCTTGTGTCCCAGCTCTGGACCTCGGCAATGTAAACTCATGTGGGCTGAATTGCAAGACACTGTAAAATTCTTTTTATTGAGCATCCCAGTAAGCAAACCACTGTAAATCATCTCTTATAGTAGTTCTGCTTAGTGTAGTGCCCTTTCTGTACTTAAACCTCCTGTGCAACCTTCTACCACCCCAAACAATGAGTCAACTTATGACAGTCCTTAATGCCTATTCCTTTCATCCCAAAGAGAAGCAGAGGAACCCAGATGTAGACAGATTCAGGCTTTGGCTTAGAGTTGCCTTTTGACCTGACTGTGTTGCTGTATACAGAGACAACATTGCAAAAGATCTCTTTTTTATTTTCTTCCTTGTGCCCAAGGAATACACCGGAAAATGCCTAACAGTGATGGGAGGACTCGAGGGCTCTGGAATAATAATTTACCTGAATCCAGTGTTTCTGAAAGCACACTTCTTTTAAATATTAATGTTATTCTGCAGCATAGTAACTGGAGAGCAAAAGGGCAAAGAAACCTCACAAAAAACATGTTTTTCTATGTTCAGGGCCATGTTCTCCTGTAGGATTTGTTGCTGTAAATTTTTAGGCCACAAAACAGACTGTATTTTCCAAGGAAGGCTGCAAGTTACCAAGAGAGTTAATTGGTTTATGCTGTTTTAATAAGACCTCCTGGGAAACAGATTTAATAGTGGAGTGCCAGTATCACATAATAAAATATGGTTTGTAAAGGATATTACAACATAAGATACAGCGTGTCTAACTGGAAAGCATTTGCTGAATTTTTAGGGAACAATATCTAAATCTATTATGTTGGAAACCTGGAAATGAGGCTATGTGGCCACAGTAGTTAAAATGAAAACAAGCTAGCAATTTAAATGGAAACAGTCTGCCACAAGGGAATCAAGAGTTTTATTGTGGGAAGGTCACACAGAGACCTTCCTTTTACAGAGGGAAATTAAAGGATCCAATGTACAGTTTGCTACAAGCACTCATCAAACCAGCCTCTCTCCCCTTTTCCCTTCCCAACCACACGGTTTCCTGCAGGGAATGTGTAAGGTAAGTAATCTTGGAGGGAATTTACAAACCTGAACTCGGACCGAAAGGTGTGGTGATCAAGGTGAAACAGCAGAGTTTACCACATTTTTTGCTCATAGGTTGTGAGGTCGAAATCCTTGGAGTCAGACCAAGTTACTGCCGCGAATACTTCAGTGTCCCAACAGACAAAAACTTTGCGGATGCCATCAGTGATGCCCTCGAGACCTTGTGGTATGTCACTAGGTTTTTGCAGTATGGGGTTTCCTCTCTCAAGGACAAGTATTGGGGCTTACTATCTGGGATATTTTCAGGATTGGCTCCCAGGTACGAAGATGGTGCTGAGGCTGCTTTACAGTACTGTCACAGAAATACCACCATCACCACAGAAACAGGCCCTTACATTAAGATTGGAGGGAAAGATGTGCTCTTTTGCTGTGTAGGTTACAACAAAGAGGAGACATCCTGACTTACTACTTTTAGTTTATTGTTTCAAGCAGCTTCAGAATGAGTCTCTTCATTGCAAGAGCAGACTGCAGTGCTTGGATTTAGAGAGGGAATTTGGAAATTCTGAAATTTGGCTTTGGTCACTTGTTTACAAGACTGATGCTTTGGCTTCTTCTGCATTTTAGAACATCGCAGGCACAATATTTTTGGAGTGGGCATTCATTTTGTGCAATATGAGGATATAACAGAGTAAAATAGAATAGTTCAGTTGGACAGGGCCTACAACAACCATCTAGCCCAGCTGATGGGCATATATATCTCAGGCAACTCCTAGAAAAAATGTATGCCCCACACGCAGCTTTCAAGTTTCACTATCTCTCATTCAAACATTAACAAGGGACAATTCCACATAGGCTGTAAAATCAGGGAAGATTGCACCACCACATGCAGAACCAATGCCTTACCTTAGCTATAACTAGGCTTCCTCTTTGAAAACCTTGTTGGTTCCATAATTTATCCAATCCTAGGAAACATTTCTGTTTTACTACTTGTAAACTGCCATAGCGATTTGAATCCGAAAAGTTTTGTATTCACATGCTGAGTGTTGATTGTTTTTGAAATCAAGTCTCCAAAATTATGAGAGTGCTGCTGGAGATGTTGCTCCCAGTTGCACACTGAATCCTGCTGCTCAGAAATCACGGTGTTGTTTGCATCATGGGGCTTAGACAGAAACTGCCTGAGACCACATGAGATGTTTTATCTTGAAATGATTTGGCTTAGATTTACAGAAAGTTATCTGCATGTGATATGAGGAGGTCATATATGACATAGGAGGCTTTCTGGAGCTTCTGCAATGCTTTTAATTTAGTGAATAAAAAAAGGAATGGAAAACTGAATACAGACATCCGCTCTGACTTACCCAGAATTACTGTAGAAAGCTTTTTGGTCTGGTATCAGTTACACTTGACTCCCTGCCTGGTTTCTGTGCAGCACAGTGCGTAGGGCTGCTCAGGGTGGTTTGCAGCTTTGTAATGGTTAAAACAAGGCACAAACGGTTAAAAGGTCCAGTGCTTTAAGGTGTTCTTTTGGGTAGCTGGATCCCCTTGAAAACATCTCAATAGCTAATTCACCCTAAGCTACAAGGCTGCCCACTGCTATCTTTGGTGGAAAAGAAGAAAAGGGCAGGAACACAGCAGTGTCGGTGGAACAAATCACAAGAGATGAAAATTCTTCAAGAAAAGAGCAAATCCCTGCCATGATGCCTGCCAGAAATACCAACTAAAGCCTGCTGAAGTGCCCAAAACCTACAGATCATCCCCGAGCTGCATGAGGTCCTGTCTCTGGTATCCCTTTACACACCCCTTCTTGAATTTCTGCCTAAGTTCCTTTTCTTTAAACTATGTACCTTGTCTCCAGCAAGGCAGGAAAGAGCAAAAAAGGATGATCATAGATAAAACTTGGTTCAAATATTGCAAGGACTTAAAATAAGAAGGGAGAGTAGAGAACAAACAGGTGTAAAAAAACTAGGTAGGTTTCCTTATTCTTTCTCTCATTCATCCTCTTTGTTTATTCCTTTAAGATTTAGGAAAAAAAATTCTGTGCTGTTGGGCCAGCCCATAAGAAGTAAAGCCTCTGAAATGCCTTTACTGTAGGTATACTCAGTTAGCAGATATTAGCATGTCTGATAGTAGAGTCTTCAGCTTGTCATTTACATCTTTTGCAAGTGCTTTTTACCCTTGAAGCTGTTCAAAGGCTGGCAAATCCAGTGTTTCCTTTCCACACACCAACTAATTGGAAAAGCCCATTAGGCTGAGACTGGCATTAGCTATATGTGGGAAAACAGCCTGTGGCGAGGGCAGTCTGTTGCCTGTAGCAGTGCCTTGCTCAGTTGCCCCAAGGGCAGGTATTAGTAGTTAATGAAGTGCACTTTGGCTCCCACCATTAGCAAACCTTACAGAGACTCCAGGATAGAGAGAGTAAGCCCTTTAATATGGCATAGCAACCTAGAGGTTAACTTGGGTTTGAGCACAGGAATTCTGACCCATCTTAACTTCACTGAAGTTGAAAGTTTTAGCAATCGCCTCTGCAGGGACAGAAATACCTAACTCATCAGGGAACCACTGAGCTCTTCTTGCAACCAAAGCAAACTATCCTTCAGGAATATTCTCCAGTCTCTTCAAACAGGTGCTTTAAGACCACTATTTAGACAAAAAATATTCAAAACTAAGTCAAGCATCTCTTTTTGACAAGTGAAACTAAAACCTTCCTTGTGTCTTTTCCACAGTTATAACTTAAGGGCTGTTGTGATCTACCTACTTTCCTGGACAGGTGTCATGAAGTTTGCACAATACTTGCAAAGTGTGCTGGTAAAATACAAACCCCTTTTTGGTATTGCCATCAATGCCATCCAACTTTCTTCAGCAAGCTTTCCTTAGTCATTTACTTGGAAACTTACTGGTGATGGAAGAAGACAGGACGAGCACATAGTTAGACAGATTATTTCTCCCACGCAAGCCATGATCAGAGATGCCTAGTTTTGTTAGAAGAACAGGCAAAAATGGACACAAAGTCAAATTAGGTCTTAGAAGCTCTGGATGTGCTGTACCAAGTCCTGCAAACTGCAAGCTTAATTGGAGCTTGTCCCATTGAAGTAATTGAGTATTCTTCCTTATAGCACTGAGCCCTCACTGAGAAATCTCGCCATAGCCTAAATGAGAGCACTTGTTTTATGCAATAAATCTCCTTCTTGGCTTCTGTCTTGATCAAAATGATCACTACAGATGAGAAGACATAAAGTAGTCTAAGTAGCTCATTAATATAGGCACTGCAGCAGAAGAAAACTATTTCAGTAGGTTCAATGAGTGTGTATGCAAAAGGGAAATTAGAGGGTTAAATTTTAGAAATAATTTATGCCCAATACAGATGGAAAGTAATGCTTAAAATCAAACTGGGAGAGGGCTGCTTCATTTGAATTATTTTAAAATCTTTAAGAATGAGAAACAATACTATTTTGCAGGGCCAGCAGTGCACAGTAGAGACCTTCAGCTTCTTACAGGACTGCTCCTCTGAGGCCTTCCTCAAACTGAAAAATGCAAATTACAGACCCTAATTCAGTCAGTCAGTTCCTCACTTCTGATTTTTCCTCTTCTCTCTTGCTCATTACACCAGACTACTCGAGTGTCTTTAATCAGAGAAGCTGGACCTGTCAGGACATGACGCAAAGTCTTTTTGCAGGGATCTTGGTCTCAATGAGAGCACGTATTATGGATAGCACACTCTGTCATATATTAAGTACAGCAGAAAAAGACTGGGTTTGAACTTCATGAGCATAAGTTTGTGATTTTATCCACACAACTGTTCTCAGAGAGCTTTACAGTGGTCATGAAAATGTAATTAAACACTGATATATGTGTCATCTCCACTAATTAGGCTGAGGGCATTCAGTGCAGAAATCTGTGATCAGCTAAACTTGTGCAATGCTGAGATTACTTCAGAGATTACCTTTGTTTCCCTTTGGTCATATTCCTGAATAAAACCCCCATCCAAAATTTAATCGCAATTCCTACTGCTCAGTATTTTGCAAGAAAGAGCACATCCTGAGTTGACCTCGGTGATTTGGAAGACCTCATGCAGAAGAAAGCCAGAAGTGCCAAACTTTAATTAAAGTATGTTTGTCTGGTAATTCCCACAATCCTTTTAATAAGGGCACTGAGCACAGAAATCAGTGTTTCTTTGTCATTAAAGGGAAAGCTGCCTTCTTAATTCAAAGAGGTTAGTAGAGGGCTGCCAGGCCAGCCTGTGCTTGCACATAGCAGTCTCTACTACCACCTCTGAGAGGAGTCTAAGGCAAGCTCAGGAGACTTTGGGTGTGAATAATGAGCCCAGCTGTGCAACAGTAGGTAGGACAGCACAGGCTGGAAGCAGAAAACGGGGTTCTGTGGTTCTACGTGCTGGTGAAGGCAATAACGCCGGCAGTCAGGAGGTTTCCATGTGTGCCGGCCTCTCACTCCTTCCCCTCCCTCCCACCTCCAGCAACGGCAGCGCTGAGATGGCCGCGGTGTACTACGAGCGCATTGATGTGGAAGGCCACCACTACGGCCCTTTGTCCCAGCAGCGGAAGAACGCTTTGAAGGAGGTGGACAAAGCCTTGAGCAACATGATCTCACTCATCAAAGTGAGTGGCATCCAAGACCCCAGCTCCTGAGTGCCTTTGGAAAGGTTTTTAAAACTGCTCTTTGTGGCATTGCCAAGAGCCTATTTAATACCTGTCACTGAATGCATTGGCTGTAAACTTTTATTTCCTGAGAAACAGGTTACTGAGATCATGTGGAAGTCAAGGTACCATTCCCTGGATTATTGTTTTCACTGATGGCATTATAACCTGCTTGGTGGATTTACACCAATAGCCCCAGGAAGCCACAAACCAATATACAGTTTATAACTGGTGTTGCCGGCTAAACTTTATTGTAGGCAAACGAATCAAAACCGTGTGCTTCCTAAGGTTTGTGGAATCAGACAATTAACTTATATAGCAGTTTTTATGGTACTAATCAGAACTCCTTACTTTAAACTCAGTTTTAAAAAACATCATCTAAATGAATTTTCAGCAAGAAAAGGATGCCAAGCTTTTGGGTAAATGGCAATTCTGTGAATCTTTAACAATGATAAATGCATGTTGGAGTTTTTTATGTGTTTCGGTGAGGAAAGGAATATGGATCTCCAATTTCACTAAATTATCAAAGTTCTAATTCTAAGTGTTTATGTTTTCAAGGGGAAGAGAGAAACACCCCTGCCACAGGTAGTATCATGGCAAAGTTACTCTTCCCCATCTGTTTTGGCCAATAGATTAAGAATAGTTCAGTAAAATCCTGTCTAAGACCAACTGGGACAACTGCTTTGTCGGTCTGGGATGTATCATCTGGTTTAGCAGGGGGGTGGATTTATTTTGGAAAAACTCTTTGGTGCTAACCTCTCAGACTCTTCCAGAGCAGCAAGTGAGAGTGGGTTTCCATCATTACAGGTGGTGGCAAAGCACATTGCAGGGCATTTGCAGATGTGCTCCTTCTGGCGAACTTCCACTAAATTGGTGGAGGCCAGACGAGGATTTAAATTTTCAAGTGGGCACAGACAGTGCAAAGCTCTTACCAGCCATAACTGCTGTCATGCACTTGCTTTACAGAGCAAAGGCCTTCAGAATGAAGTCAATGTCCTCCTCTTCTCCAACCATGGGATGACAGACATCTCCTGGGCAGACAAAGTGATTGAGCTGAACAAATATATCAATATGAGCGATACTATACAAATGAAGGACCGAGGTCCTGTTGTGAGCCTCTGGCCAGCTCCAGAGAAGCATGCAGAGGTAAGTACAGTTTGGTCGTACTAGTCTTTGTGTTTCCTCAGTTTTTTTGCCAATTGTGACTTCTCATAACATCCAAATCTGGCTCTCAGAGATGTGTATAAAAATCAGCCTGAGGCTCTTATCAGGAGTCAGACTTGGAGCCTGTGACGCTCTTGTGCCGCTGGTTTCTGAAGGAAAGTCACACTAGGCAAATTAGAAAGCATGAACTTTCATCATTGTATGGCAAGGACATGTGCTTTCAAACCCCACCACTATGTGCTTTTGATAAACAGCTAAAAGATTTTAGCTCAAAATCCATTTTTAGGATTTTATATATATATCAGTCAATTTATTGACACCCTAGCTGTGATTTTCAAATGATCTGGCATTCATACTCCAGTAAACTCCCATAGAGTTTGAGGAATTAACTCCATTAGACCAGAATTACAAAAAATAATTTTTTTACAATATTTTCCTTTGAAGAATTTTTGGCGAAGCATGTTGGATTGAATTAACTATAAAAGTCCAAGGTTGGAACTGTATGATTTTGAGGGATAAATTAAAACAATAGAGAAAAAATTGGAAATTACTTGAAAAGAATGAGAATGCAGTATCTGTAACTAACAGACTAGTACATTATAGTCTAACCAGAAACCAATGCATGAGAAGTCATCACTGCTGTCCTCAGAATATATATATGTATGAATGTACAAAATGGGCAGGCCGTGCCCATTTGAATAATCTTGTTTTCTATATTATATTTCTATATTATATTTTAGCCAGTTCCAGTATATTGTAGCTTGCAAAATTTTTAAAAAGAGAATATTTGCACCCAGTCTCTCCAGGAACTGTGTAGCTGTGGTATTGTGAACATTTCAAATTGGTGCCAGGACTGAAAGTTGTCTTAGAGGCATGCATAAGCAATTCACTCAAAGTGAATCTCAGGGGTTCACAGCATTGATATATGCTCTCCTTGGTCTTAACCCAGAGCTTCTGATTTTTGTAGGCCAGACCTTCAAACAAGGGCAAGTTGCAACTTCACACAGACATGGGGTTTCATCTGACAAAGTTTTTAAGCACATGCTTCTCTCTTATTAAACAGCCAAATACCTCTAAGGAGAATAAAGTGCAATGCCTCTACACTATGGTTTTGTTTTCTTCCTTCCTTCCTTTCTTTCTAGCACTTCTTACTGGACTACTGCTTTTTAAGTGAAATCAAGTTGGTTTTCAGTTTCCCAATAGAGCTTCAAAGAGCTATGTTTAGGAATTAAGAGTGTATCATAACATGGTGATTATCACCTTTAAGAATTATCCCATTTCGAAGAAGTACTGGTGAAACACCAGGATCACTCTAGTCCTGGTCATGAGAGGGTCTGGCTGGATTTCACCATCACACCCTGGTGCTGTCCTTATGGTCACTGCATATTGATGCACATCTCTGGCACACATAGGCACACAAGGGTGACTTAGCTAAAAGGCTAGTGAAGAACCTTTCATTCTTTGCAGAATTGAGCTAATTATTCCTGAAAATTTTTTATATTTAAGCAAAAGAACAATATAGAGTTTGAGGACTCCAATAATGGCCTTTTTTATGGCATATGAACATCTCCTTCAGGCATTTAAAATACTTTTTCTGAACAATTTGGGGTTTAACCACACTTGTGTGATTATATTCAAGACAGTATGATTAATATTAATAAACCACTTGTATATCATTGTGCAGATTCAAGCTGCAGGCATTGGCTAATTAATCTCATGGCATCCTTATGAAGCAGATAACTAAACAATATCAATCCCTTTGTTAGGAACTGACTGGTTAAGTGCAAGAAGCACAGATGAGGTGATATTAATTCTTCACTCAAGCGCACAAAAAGAGAATGAATGGCAGAGGATAAAGAAAATATTCCTTTTCCACATCTGTACACAATCCACATGGTGCCTTTGAGCATCTTTCACCACTTTACTCTCACCACTGTCTCCAGTGATGGTGTGGTTCCTCCTGGTCTATTTCTGTAGGCTGGTGTACTTACATGCATACATGTGTGTATCATAAATATATATAATACCTGAATTCACGCATTACTATGTGTTTCTGATCCAAGTTTTCAGAATCTCCTAAACTACATAAGTAGGTTTTGTCCAGCCATCATTTTTGGACAGGCAGAGTCCTGGTTTGAATGTGCTAATGGTTAGCCATTAAAGGGGGTTAGCCATTTTGCAAATTCAGATGTTTCAATGTACCCATTGGTGCATATATGTTCTTTACAGACATATGACGTCCTAACATTTGTTTTCTTTGCAGATATATCAAAAATTGAAAGCCGTGGAACACATGGATGTTTATAACATACAGGATATTCCAAACAGGTTTTTCTACAAAAAAGGAAAATTTGTGTCTCCACTAACCCTTGTGGCCGAGGAAGGATGGTTCATAGTAGAGGTAAAGTATAGAAGCAAAATACATTGACATGAATGTCAAAAGGTGCAATGTATGAAAACAGTCAGAAAATTGTACAATTCTGTGCTGATCATTGAGTTCAACGGGCTGACTGCAGAACTGCTGCTTAAAGGGGCTTAAAGGTTCTGCAGCTATCCTATAGGTAGACAGTTAAATAGTCAAGACGGTGTTTTTTCTTCTGTTGTCATAACACAGAAGTAGTCCTTGTATTTCACATTCCAGTTCTGTTGCTTTACTCTTCTTCTCCCTGCCATCTACCTTAATTTCAGATACAAAAAGAGTGTTTCCATTTCAAGTCCTTACTGTCCCTCCATTCAGCAGTACCTGTAGCAGCCTTTCATTCTGCCTGGCTTCCTACCCACTAGACTAAAAAAGCGCCATTTCTCACAAGCCCTCCAGTCTCAAAAGGGTCAGACTAAAGGGTCTCCTCCTCAGAGAAGCCCTGTCCACACTCTGAAAATCTGAGAATTTCTTAAGCAAAGAATTCACATGTGAAGAGATTTTTCATAGTAACTTATTTTCTTACTATAATTTGCTGTTGTTGTTATTTTGTATTTGTAACACTACTGGGCATCTCCACATTACAAATACTAACAGTAAGTTGGCAGAACCAAGATGTCCTGGGTTTTTTTAATGTCCCAGCATAGTCATTGCACATTGTTGCCTTGCAGATTACTGTAACTCAGCTGAGCATCTTCTTCCATGACTTTCAGAGCTACTGCTCACCAAGCTTTGCTCAGGACATTTCACACCACCACATTTCTCACTAGCCAGATTGAATTTAGGATAATAATTTCTACAGCTGAATAAAAATGCACCTCTAAAAAAACCCAGTGGCATTTGAGTATGTATTGATGAGCACATTTCTGGTTAAAAAAAAAAAAAAGCCAGAGTTAAGATTTAGACATGTAAAGTAGGAATCTGAAACAATTTCACCAAAATGATTTAAAAAAATTACAACTAAACTCTTCTGTACAAAAGTTCAAAACAGAACATTTTTACATATTCTGTAGAAAATAAAAAAGGTACTTAAAAAAGTCATTGAAACTCTGACAAACCTTAATAACAGTGCAGCAAACACTGCTGCTATGGTAATTATTTCTGTCTCTCTGCCCATTCCTTCCCATTGTTTCTGATTTTCAAGAGTGTCCTCTCATTAATACAGTCAGATTTTCCTTCTCTTCAGTACATTTTCGTTATCCATGAATGGGATATGAAAATGAAAGTTTCCTGTCATTTTTAAAGCAATAATTGAGCCTTCTGTTGTGCTTCCTGCTCAAACCACTGAAGAGAGGATGTTCAGCTCTTCCCTGTCATGCTCAAGGGGTGTTTTAACTCTCTGTTGGTTAGTGGATAGCTATAAGGTGTTTGAAAAGGAGATTTTTTGGTTGTTGTTTTTTGAAAGGGATAAAGAGGATGTATCTGGAAAATTGTTGTTTCTCCCAGCAAGGAGCTGGGGATCTATAACTTCTAAGTAGGTAAACTAGAACTAAAGCCCATCTACATTTCAGTTAAAGCAGGATGAGGAGGGATTTCACACACCTCTGGCTATATCGAAGCCTTGTTCCCTCCACATGAGTGAGTGGTCCCCATCCTTTGAGCAGAATTTTCCCCAGCTACTCTCCTATGTGCAACACTGGTGTTAGCCCTCAGGCCTGTGTGCTTGCTCTGTACCTATCCCAGTGTACTTTCCCAAGATTTAGGGAGCAATTGCAGTACATTTTCTAAACATTCACATGCAGGGAAAAGTCCACTCTCAGCAGTCCCAGACTTGCCTGTTTCATCTTTGAGGAGCAGCACTAGCCCAGGCTTAGGCTTAGCATGAAAAATTATGTCTCAGCTCAGTCCACCATCCCATTTGTATTTGTCAAGCAGGCACTTCAGGGTGCTGTCAGTGCCCTGGCCCCAAAGAAACCCCAGGATTTTATGAGATTTGCTGTAAGGCAGAGCCTCATGCTCTAGAAGGGCAGCGTTGGGGTGCTTGCACAGCCCTGTCTCTCAAGCTACTGCTGTTAGTGGCTCCATTTCATGAGCTCTCACTTCAGCTGCAGTTGTGAAAGCAAGTAGTATGTTTTCTGGCCCAATTAGCAGCAAAAATGATGGAAATGACTGTGCCTTTGACTGCACAGTCAGTTGTGAGTGGGTATCTCTTGCTGCCTGGGAGAGTTATGGAAAGGCACACATACCTCCTGGATTTAACATTCCTGGGGAAGCAACAGCGTCCAGGACATCTGACAGGACCATGGAGGGGTGTGGCTTCATTGATGTCATGATACTGCCAAAGAACCGCTGAAAATTTGACGTGGCTTGACTTGTCTGAAGCTGGTGCTAGCAAATGCTGTACAGGTCACCTGATGGTGAGCAGCACAGGTAGTCTCCAGGAACTGCGGTAAACAGAGCCACAGCGTAAGGAGGTGCTATGGTAGGAAGAGAGGAAGGCTTGCTCTGAGCTCTGTCAGGGAAATAAATGGGGGAAATAGATGGGGACAAGAAAAGAAATTTGTCAACTGAAATAGTTTAATTTAATCTGTAAGAGATTACCAAGAGAGATTGTGGAATCTCCCTCATTGGAGATATTCAAGGACTGTCAGCAGACAATTCTGTGCAATGTGCTCTAGGATGACCCTGCTTGAGCAGGGAGGTTGGACCACATGATCTACTGTGGTCCTTTCCAACCTGACCCATTCTGTAGTATTTTGGAATTATCTGGTACATCTCCTGAATACTGCATGTGAAGAAACACGAGGGATAAAGGGATACTCTGGGGGTTCCCCTAGAGAGTAGTTGACCTCTTAGTCATAACTACTGCTGTCCTCACTGCACAGTCAGTTTTCTTTCTGGAGGAGGAAGATGAAAATCAGACAAAATCAATGTTTGTGAAAGGAAAGACATCCTCGGTTAATCTACTTCATCATCTGCAGGGGTTATGGCACCACTTGCCCAGGGTGGTAATGTGGGAAACTCTTCTGGGGCATCTTCTGTACTTCTGTGCCTGGGTATGAAGCCCAGACCTCGTTGCTTTAGAAAACTGTGTAGATCCTTCTCTGTAACCATCAGAGAAATTAATGTCAAGGGTCTGATGAATATCTTAGTAAAATTCCTGCCATAGTTTTGGGGCTATCTGGAATGCTGCATCTGCTGCCATCCCTAAGGAGCATGGGACGGGAGAAACTTGTGGACAGGGTTGGTCCAGCATTTTGATCAGCCCCTAGGGACTACTGCTCTGACAGGTATGACACTATTGTAGATAGTCTGGTAAGAGCTGTTCATATGAAACAGGAGAAAGTAAGGAAGGAATTTAAAAGTACTACTTAAGTGCAATATGGGCAAGGAAGAACAAGACTTATAATGACAAATTAGTAAAGCATAGATCCACTGAGCAAGGAAAGAAAACAGAGTGATCTAGGTCAGGGAGAGAGGGACTGTCTCAGGTCAGAGCCAGTGTTCCCTGAAACAAACCTGATTTCTTCAATACTAAAACAAGTAGGGAGAAGAAGTAATAATTAGAAAATATATAGTAGGGGTAATACTTGTATTGTTTAGGCTGACTAATCAAGTGGAGCAAAAATGGCTTATTTTTCTAAGGTGCCAGTGGCATATGGGACAGAACAACACACCAGCAAATCCACAGCATGGTGCTGGGTGGGAGAGTGGCACTGCTAGCACGAGTGGGGAGAGGGACACCACCTTGCTTACACATGTCACATACGGCTGTGGTACTTTGGGCCTGTGGCAGAAATTTAGATGAGTTGTCCTCCCCTCTCAGTGCAGAGATGGCTACTCACTGAGGCAGCTAAGCCAGGGGTCACCCCTCCTGGGGAATGAGCTCCCGTGCAGCCAACAGCACGGGGGTGGTCCTGATGGGTCCTGAGACACAGCATAGCACCCCCCAGCACCCCAGCACAGCCTGGCAGGCAGGCACTAACCACGCTCTGCTGTTGTCACCCAGAGCAGGGACAAGCTGCCCTTCTGGGAAAACGGGACGGGCAAGAAGGAGGCCTGGCAGAATGGCTGGCATGGCTACGACAATGAGCTCATGGACATGAGAGGCTTCTTCCTTGCATATGGACCAGGTACAATGCCATCATCCCTGGTGTTCCACTTCCCCTGCAGCACCATGGTTCCTACCCCTGCAGCCCTGCAGCCCCTGGCACATCAGGACCCTGATGTGGCACTCTGTGACGCCTAAAAATTACAAATAGATGGCAGGATTTCCTCACTGCAGAAGGTTTCTAGCTCTGTTTTTTAGCTGGAGAAACAGGGCAGAGAGATATGAAGGGATTTAGTCAGCCTCCTTCTGATGTCCCAGCACAGTAACTCTGTCCCTTTGCTCTTTTTTCCTAAATTTTGGCCTAAATTTTTAATTCCATTTGAAACACACAAATTCTTCTTCTGTTGGAGGATTTGGACTCAATAACGCAGAGCACTTTATTTGGGAAGGCTGCAGCATACCTCACCCACCTGTCTGACGAGCAGACACAAGCCTCCTGGTTTCCACTTCATCTGGACCTTTAAACACTGCAAAGCACCAGGGTGCAACCACAGACAGGAGTGAAAACAAAGCAGAATGTGCAATAGAATTATGTCAGGCTATTAAATCTACCAAGCACACCCAGTAAAGTAGCTCCTTAAAAGTTTGGGTTTTTTTTGGTTTTCAGAATAAAATTGGACTAGAAGTAAAAAATAATGCACAAAAATTTTTAAAATGTTTTTGCTGAGTTATGTTATCCTACAGCTATAAATTGTATAGTGTGCCACATCCCAGCCGGCTGGGAAAGTCCCAGGAAAGGCATAGGAGCCCTTGCCCTGCAGCGCCCCATATTTCAAGCACTGAGCCATAAGCTGTATGATGTCAACTCCTCTCTTTTGCCTGCAGATTTCCGATCCAACTACCGAGCACCACCCATCAGATCCGTGGATGTTTACAACATCATGTGCAGCCTGGCAGGAATACAGCCACTGCCCAACAATGGCTCCTGGTCCAGGGTGGAGTGCATGCTCCGAAACACAGCCCCCTTGGCACCACTCCCCCCGTGCAGCAGCTGTGCCCTGGCACTAGCTGTGCTCTCCCTGTTCGCCAAGCAGATCTCCTTACTGTGATCCCTGAACAATGTCAGTCAGTGTCACCAGCAACTCCATTCTTCTCTGATTTTTTTTTAAAGTTCTTCATTTGAATAATAGCTTCATTAATAGAGTGCTGTCCCCCACTCCTCCATTGTGCTCCACCAGGCATGAATCTGACCCATCCTGCATTTACAGCAGTTGTAACATGAACATGTTCCAAACAACATGCTACAAACACAGCCAGGGAAGTTGGTGTTGTTTCTCTAGATTTACAGCTCTGGCAATGAGAGCAGAATCCTGGCTGGCTATCCACAGTATTTTCTGGCGGGTGCACATGGGGATCTCTGAGCATCAAACACATCTCACACAGCATCTTTCTCTGAGGTGCTCACCCTGGCTCCTGGTACTGAGAAGCTCAGGAGTAGAGACTGACCATCTCTGCATTTAACTGCGTTCTTCCTGCTTCACTCCTTCATCTCCAGCTCCATCACCAGCAGGGCCCCATCTTCTTACAGTGCCAGCCAAACCCTGTCTATACTGACCCATTCAAAGTGCCAAGAGCTTTGGTGAGTTACCACAGTGCTAAGAAAGGTGGGCCGGCAAGAGAGCAGTGAGAGCATCCTATTTCTCTCAACCTTTCCTTCTTCATTCTCCCCAGTGTGAGTCCTGGCTGTGCATAGAATCATAGAATCAGCTGGGTTGGAAGGGACTGCTGAGATCATCAAGTCCAACCCTTGATCCACTACTGCTGCGGTTACTAGGCCATGGCACTAAGTGCCACATCCAGTCTCATCTTAAAAACCTCCAGGGACGGAGAATCCACTACTTCCCTGGGCAACCCATTCCAATGTCTGATCACCCTCTCTGTAAAGAAATTCTTTCTAATATCTAACCTAAACCTCCCCTGGCACAACTTGAGACCATGCCCTCTTGTCTTGCTGATAGCTGCCTGGGAAAAGAGACCAACCCCCACCTGGCTACAACCTCCTTTCAGGTAGTTGTAGAGAGTGATGAGGTCTCCCCTGAGCCTCCTCTTCTCCAGGCTGAACAGCCCCAGCTCCCTCAGCCTCTGCTCATAGGACTTGTGCTTGAGTCCCTTCACCAGCCTCGTTGCCCTCCTCTGGACCTGCTCCAGGACCTCAATATCCTTCCAGAATATGCTTCCAAGGCCTGGCTTTCCTCATGGGCCACAGCAGTGGGGAGGGCTGAGAAAGGGGAGAGCAACAGAAGTCCTCCACCTCAAACAGTGGGAAAACGAAGAGGCATCTGGACACGCAAGGGTTGGGAGCAAGTAGGATGAAGAAGCCTTGAATTTAACAGTCTCTTTGCTTTTCCTGGTGAAGATAATACGATCTGCTCAGGTTTTGGTGTTTGTACTCAATTGCGTTTCTGAAGGTTTTCTGAAACTTGCTGCTTTTCTACCAGCTCTTGCTCTCTACACCTCTGCCGGGTGACCAGCATATTCCTCTTTATTCTGCAGCAGGGAAAGAGGTCTACACTGATAGGTGTCCCACCCTCCCAGCTAATCCTAGCAGTTATTTCCTCCACAGGCTATCAAGCACAAACAAAGTTGTAACAGTAAAGTTAGATTAAATAGCAGGAGATGATAGAGCTGTTGCCAGAAGTGCCTTTGGGAGTGCCCACTGCTTTATCTGATATACCTCTGGACTGGGAACTTTCAGCAACAAACTGCCTTTGGAAGGATTTAGGTCCCTCTCCATATGAAACAAACCTCTAGGACTTACTACTCTTATGGATCCAGAGTCAGGCATGATCCAGGTATGTGTGGTACAGCACATTTAAGAGTGAATGATTACACCATGGAAAAAAACCCAAACACCAAATTAAACTTCACAAAGACTTCTGTAATAGCTGTAAAGATTTATGTAATGTGTTTTTAAAGCTCAAGTGAACCATCAAATCAATTGGGAAAAAAAAGGGGAGAAAATCAGTCTTTGTTATTAGACTGTTGAGTATAAAAGACAGTTTAGTGCTTTCAAAACATTTGCAGTAGCTGTAAAACAAGCACCTATTGTTCAGAGTTCCCTGTTGCTCTTTAATGGACCATGCTCAGTGAAATCACTGGAGCACATTTTTAAAACAAGAAAAAAAAATCAGCATATCAGCATGCAAGATAACCAAATTACCAAGTTTTGTTTGAAAATCAACAGGCTAGATGCCATCAGTGCCTGCTAATCCCTCCACAGCCTGCCATTTTAACTCTTACCAGTGAACAGAACCCAAGGTCTTCTTACAGAAAAGAAGTTTCTGAAGGTATAAGGGCATATTCAGCTTCTCAGTTATACAAGCAGAAATTGGAAATAACAAATTGGGTCCATTGAGGTGAGCCATGACACATGAAACCAACATTGATCCTTGGGAGCACTTTGTGTAACTAATTTTTGTCAGTGTCCACATGCAAGTACTGAAGAGTAAATTTTCTAATTGCAATATGATTTGTTCGGCCTTAATGCAAGCATTGTGTGTATGGTAAAAGATACTTGGTCTGCAAAAGGGAAATTGATAGTAGACCTCCAAGAAGCTCATTAGTTTCAGGAGAACTACAGCTCATTATTTTTTGAAAAGTGCATCTTTCTTCCTCAGAAATGTTGTACCTCTGAATCAGTTCACATTCTCATTCAAAAATCAAGTGTCTTATCTCTCGCCTATTTTTCTGTATACTATGCAATGGAAGTGGGTGTATTTTAAAACCTATTTCTGAATGATGTTTTTATACAGTGACTGATTGTGAATGAGTGAATAATCCTAAGAATGGTGTTGGGAAAAAAATGCATCTTTTTGTAAATACTGTAGGATTTTTGAAAAAAAACACAAAAAACACACACAACAAAAAAAAAACCCCAAAACCTGCCCCATAACACCTTGCCTGTCTTGTCTTCGCTGCATCAAAGTGTGATAAACAGTGTTTGAAGCTTGTGCTGATTAATTATCAGAAAGATGAATGTAAACATTGTTTAGAAATGGCAAAGTTGTCAGCATGTAAATTAAGGACATTAAATACATCACATAAGATACTGTAGCTTGTATACGCAGTCCTTTTTTCCAGATCTACTTCAGTATTTAATCTTTTGAACATCCATCCAGGGACATGTAATTCACACTAGCCAATGGACACGACAAAACATTTTGCTCTGCTAAGAAGAGAGGTGAGCCCTGGATGCTCTCTCTAGGCCCACTTCTCCAAGCCCGCTGTGTTACCATCACATCAGCTGCTTGCACAGAAATCAAGTGCATTGTCACTGGTTCAGGCTTTCCAGAGCCCCCACTTCCCAGCAGGGGATGGTGCAAATGGCAATAAGACCTTGAAAACCAACACTACGGGTCTCGAGGACCAGGGACCCTACCCACCCTTTAAGCTTCACAAACCAACAATGTTCAGTGGAGAGACTAATTTAATAGAAATAAGTCTCCAAACCTACTCAGTGGAATTTAGCTTGTTTTCCTTATGCTAACTGACCACAGGGGCAGGGAGTAGATGCTGAGGAGAATCAGTTCAGGTATGCCAATGAGTCCTTTAATTCTCAGCAGGGCTCCCTTCAAACCAGCAGCACTGGCAAGGTCTGCCAGAGATACTCCCCTCGTGTTCCATGAGCATGGGTCCTGTGAGCAGGAGGATGCTGAGGGCTTGCCTGCACGGAGACAGCATGGGAATCAGCCTCAGTCAGCTCCCTGTAACAGTGCCAAAAATGGCAATTTCACACCTAAATAAACTAAGCCATTTTATCAGTGAGCTTGGTGGCCATGTAAATGGCATAGCTGGCCAAGGCTTAGTAGGTGGGCCCTCCAGCATCCCTCAGGATGTAGCCCACATTGTCTGCACAGACTGCAGCCTCATGGAGACTTTCCTGTTGGCCCAGACACGGGCCTGAGCCCTCCATAATTATGGGGACTTCACAACTAAGGGGTGAATGAAAAGATTTTGTGGTGTTGGTCACCTTACTTGTCTCCTAACAGCTAAGTCAAAACATCTGTCAGATGTTAAACCCCACACCTCGGGGGGAGATGCAGACCAAATGAGCTCTGGGCACTGGGAATTGAAAGGCATTGGAAAAGCCCCTTTTGTAACATTTCCCCACCTCATTTTCCCTGTGGGGCTGTGGAGAGAGGGCAGGCGACAGCAAATCCAAAGAGAATTTTAAAAGAAAACATAGCCTAATGAAGGGAAAAATTTTAAACCCTCCATTTTAGCATAAGGAGGGTTTAAGGGCTGTTCTGAAAGACAACTTTCACCTACATGGAAAAACATTTTTTCTTCAGGTATTGAAACACATTTAAGTTAAGGGAAGGTTATTGGGGAGTGCCCAAAAATAAGAACATTTCAGAGTTACAGTTGACTGGGCAGTGTAATTCTTAAACTTTATACAGATGTTTACAGCTCTATGGATTATTCTGATAACATTTCAAATACATGGAAGTTGCCATGGACTTGCAAACCAGTATGATGGTATCCCAAATCTGGCAGATCTGTATCAATGACACCAGTTCCACTCTGCCAGGCCAATTTCATCTGGAAACCACCATGAGCTGCCAGCAGGCCTGTCCTGGTCTCTCTCTACCCCAGCCAGGCATCTGCCTGAAGGCTGCCCAGGATGCAGGGAATGCTTTGCTGCAGCCGCACCACTGCACCAAGGCCACTGCTACTGCCCTGACTGGCCAGAACTTGCTACCTGTGGGGTCTGAAGATACACTCCAGGGTAGAAGACACCCACCAGCAGCAGCCCTGGAACACCCCTACGTGCTCCATCAGCTTGGCAGGCTGGGGCAGGCTAGGGACAGGTGGCGGCGGGTGGGGGGAAAGGCCTGACAGGCCCTGGGAGTGGAGATCACGGATCCACAGAATGGGTCAGGTTGGAAGGGACCACAGTGGGTCATGTGGTCCAACCTCCCTGCTCAAGCAGGGTCATCCCAGAGCATGTGGCACAGGATTGTGTCCAGATCATTCTTGAACATCTCCAGTGAGGGAGACTCCATAACCTCTCTGGGCAACCTGTTCCAGTGCTCAGTTCCCTGCACAGTAAAGAAGTTCCTCCTCATGTTCAGGTGGAGCT